ACAAGAGTGCCCCAGAAGAGTGTCCCACAAGAGTGTCCTACAGGAGTATCCCACAAGAGTGTCCTACAAGAGTGTCCCACAAGAGTTTCCTACAAGAGTGTCCCACAAGAGTGTCCCACAAGAGTGTCCCACAAGAGTGTCCCACAAGAGTGTCCCGTAAGAGTGTCCCACAAGAGTTTCCTACAAGAGTGACCCACAAGAGTGTCCCACAAGAGTGTCCTACAAGAGTGTCATTTGGACATATGTAGCTTTTGGAACGTGTTTGCATTCGGGTTCGTGGGCTCCATCTTGTTTTGGTCAAAAAGAGTCCCACTCACTCAGCACTCCAATGTTGTTTCGATGGCAACTCCTGTCCTATAGACTATAGATGCATTTAGGGATGAGCAACATTGAACAACCACACTGGATGGTGGCAACCACCACAGATTCGTCTTGATTCGTCTTGTCTGTTTGGTCCTGCGATCCCATGCGGCTCGGCAAGGCGCGATTGCTGGTGGTCTCCTTGGAGGGTGCGGCGTCCGTCGAGTGAGGTAGCTTGCGGCTTATCCCAGATACAACACATGGGACTGCCATATATGCCAATCAATTGACCCCCAAACCACCCTAATGTAGGCAAATATGGCATACATGGAGTATCATGGAGTGTTTGGGTATGGTTTTTCTTTGTTTTCCTGTGTTCATAGATCTTGGGTATATATCTCGTTGCCAGGGCCCAGTGGATGATGAAATTGGGTTGCAAACCTTTAACCCCAACATAGTGGTCACCTTACCGACTGTTACTGGTAAATACTCATGAAGAACAAAAGATCAAGCTCATGGTGGGAAAGATGGTGCAAGTGATCTTGAGCTGAAAGGAACTAATTGCTGGATGAGTGGACTGGATGACATGTTTTAGTGGTTTCAGCAATGATAGTCCAGCAATGTCCTTCTTTCACTTTCGAGCGGATGTGTTTTTTTGGGTGTTTTGCTCTGACCTGCGAACCACAGCCCTCCTCAAACGCCTAGCCTACGTCAAGTGTGGCGAACCAAACGCGAAGGAAGGCACCGACCGGTGACGTCTCGACCCAGCCGAGAGCGGCATCGAGGCCGGTAAACCAGGCCGACTCCATGGGACTGGTCGAATAGACCGATGGACATCAGCTGGGGTGGTTCACCGGAAATCAATGGATAATATATCAGTGGACATCGTGTCTGGGTCATATAACCTGGACCCGACTGACCCAGTACCTTAGAAAATGGGACATGACGTCCATTAAAAGAAAAAAAAACATGTACGACTGTACAACTGTACCCATTGAACCCGAGGTACGAGTTCCGGGTCGACTCCAACAAACCACTCTTATGAGTTGGAGGCTTGCAGGATCCAAGCACCTCAAACAGGGAGGGTCACGACCTGAATACATGCATCCTGCAGTTCCATGGACAGGTGGTTTTTTCAAGGGGGACCTATCCAGTGGATGCACCCGCGACTTCCTCCAACCATTCGGCACCCAACATGGAACTGCTGGATCATGTGACGTGTTTGGAAAAACAACGACAAAGAACAAGAATCCAGGAACTAGCTTCTTCAAAGTGACCTAGCAACCCTTTAGAGGCTCACACTTCGGGGCAGCATCTAGGATCTCAGATGATCTCAGGTCACTTTGAAGAACCAGTGGTCCTTTGCACGCATCAATATTTCAGGTCACGTAGTAAGCCTTCCGCAGCTCATCTTTCCCCACCGCGTCCAGCGCACGGTGGTTTGGGAAGGGCCCCGGCGAGGGGTACAAGGGCGGCATGGCAAGCGGAGCCGAGCCAACGGTGGACACTGTTGGAAGAGAAGTTGGAGGAAGTGGAGGAGGAACATGTTATGGCGCCATGAACTGTTCGTATAGGTTTAAACCTCTTGGGCCAACCTGTTGAGGCTTGCTGGTGGAATTGGTGTGTGAGATCGATGTTTCTTCAAGCGACATGTGCCTTCAAGTGACATGGATGCGAACTGCAGTTGCTTTAGTTGTATGGAACCTCTGCAAAAACTCCGTGCTGCCCAAGGTCCGATGTTCCACAGCGCTTTCCGGACCGTTCCGAAGCGGTGGTTTGCCCGCAGGCGGTTCCGGCTCGACAGCTTCGCTTGGCATGCGGTTCAGAACTGGATCGAACCTCGCCGCTTTGGTCTTCTCAAGAAGCTGTCGCCAGCTAGACAGCTTCGCCTCCACAACGGGGGGGGGTTCTGGATTCTCCACCTCGCCTCCCCCGGCCACCGCTCGGACCCCGGAGGACGATCCGCGCGGGTCGTGGTTACGGGGTCGCCTGCATTCCACGGAGGGAAAGACAAAGGAACCTCTTCCGGTGTACCTGAGCAGGTGAGGGTGTGTGAAACACCTGAAGAAATCGTGATAGAAATTGAAATCGTCTGCACTAATGGCCACACTGCAACTTCGATAGGTCAGGTATAGGTATGTTGTGAGAGTGGAATCTTTAAGGGATCCAAGGAGTCTTGGCTAGTCTGCCTACTGAGTCCGCACAAATTCTGCCGAGATCTGTGGAGAAGATTTTGGCTGTCCCCGAAGGCATTGGTGATGCTTGTGATGATCCCTAGGGCTCCAACCATATCCTCAGAAGGTGGTTAGACCCCCCCAAATCCACCCCAACCACCTTCGAAACGGAGGTAGGCCAGGAGGCCTAGGGGATGTCTTTGGTGCATCAACTTCGTCCGTGGTAGCGAGACCCTCGATTCCCTTCAAGTGTTAGACCATACAATACTGTCTTGCGGATTCATCTTCATCTGAACTGTTTGGGGCCACTTCCAGCATGTGCGGTTATACTTATTGAGTCTCAAAGGTGTATCTCGCACCCTCCCCCCCACGACCAAATTACTTCATTGTAGAAACAGCGATCCAAAGTCGTATATTAATAATTATACACCTATTACCCCAAGATACACCAAGTCTTTGTGTCACACACAGCCACTGGATGCTTGTCTCTGGGGTCATGTCATGTGTGTTTCTTTTTGTCTTTTATACGGCGCGTAGCGTCTCCATCTCCCGCGCTGGACGAGGGGCTGGTGGCTTGTTCCAGTCTCACGGCCAGCAACGGCACACAGGTGGCCAAGGTCACAATCCGCCTGCCACGGTCACACCGGTCGCGCGGCGACCCGCGGCTCCGCCGCGGATCCGCGGTGTGACCGGGTGCTTCTCACCGGAAGACGGTCGATCGACCTATGGAGGACGCCTGGTCGACATTGCAGGTGAAATTGAAAGGATACGACCCTGGAGCAAGCTTGATGATAGATATGATAGATAGATACAGATAGAATATGATAGAATCGCTAGCAGTAACAAGTGCATCGCTAGTAGTAACAAGTGCCTTACTAGTAGTAACAAATTTGAATTAATTTTATGGATTCTGGCCCATAGGGCTCCAACATGCTCCTGGCCACCCACTCCGTTGCGGTTCGGTGGTTGGGGTGGGGTGGATGCCAGGGGGGTCGAATACCACCGGTCACCTGAGAATATGCTTGGAGGTCTATTTGGTGCCCTCAGAGAGAGTCTCATGGCAAAATGTACGGGCAGGGATTCATCCTACCGGACGCTCCAAACAGCCCGAATGGTCCCTCAAAACCTAGGGATTTGAGCCCCCAGACCCCTCCATATGAGGGTCCGACCCCTCTACATGGGGGACCATGAGCCTTTGGGTAGTGCAATAGCTCGATCTTAAAGTGCACTAGATCGATCGAACCGACCGACCGAGCCCCTTTGCTCTAGGGAAGGAACATCGATCAAGACCCAGTAAGGTGGGGTTCTTCCCAGTAAAGCACAAACACATCCATGCCCATATCATATCCATACTATTCTCACTCTCAGAATGGAGACAGGATGAGACAAACATACACAGGCTAAAGGCACTGACAAGCGCAGCACGTGACAAATGACATGAAGAATGGCTTCCTCGTCGGGTGTGGGTCAAAACCGGGCCTTGACCACAGAACATGAACAGAATAGGCTACCGTAGCCTACCTGGGAGGTCATGGCGGCCCCTGGAATAGGCTCCGGGTGCCATGACACAGCAACGCCTCACCACTTCGACTCAGTCGGTGACTCTTGACTTGGATTTGCGGTCCATGATTAAACAGAACATGTTCCCAAGTTTGGGGCTTCACTTCACTAAGCACCTGATCAACAAAACCGTTGCTGAGGCAATCATACCAGCACCACCCGAACTTCGGGTGGGTGATTCTTCTTTTTCAACCCCCCCCATCAGATCCGCGTGTCTTCCATCCAATCACCATCGGAAACGGGGTGGTGCTGCTAGTTCGCTCAAATCTCACTCACTCACCAAATATGGCATGAACATGCAATGTATGTCACCTTAGTAACCTTTTTTCTTCTCCCGTTCCCCGATCTCCGTGTCCCCAACCCCCGAACCCCGAAGCCACCGCCCCTCGCGCTCTCCGCTTCACCTCGTCTCCCGCGAGGTCCGGTTCGCGCCTCACACCACACAGGTCGGCCACGAGCGTGACACGACCGGCACCACGAGCGAGGTCCGTCCCGGTGTGCCAGCAAAGGTTGAAGAACCCGAACTAGACTATCCTATACCCTGGGAGTCAAAGACCATTAAAACAATGGTTGACCTGGTTTTTGTATTGTAAAATCCTTAGTTGATTGGGTAAAGCCTATTAAATTAATGGTTGTTGGAAGCCTAGGGTATAGGTACTCCTGGTGACGGGTCCTAGTTCAGGTCACTGGATACCTCTGTAGGTGACCATGACACTGGTGTGACCAGTGGACTGTGGGGCTCGGTGATTGGCGTTCTCAGATTTCTCAGTGTGTCACTGTCAGTCTCCAAAACTGAAGTCGACAGGGGGGCCAGGTTGATGGATTTCAGGACTTGGCATGGTGATTTGGTGTTGCTGCCAGGAACATCTTGGCGGCCCGGAAACTGAAGTCGTAGTCATGTGCGTTGTGCTATTGTTGCTTTGATGTTGTGAGAACGATGACAATGTTCTAACACCGATGGCAGAAAATGAATGAATGAAGGAATGATGATTATGTTGATGATGATAATGATGATGATGATGATGATGATGATGATGATGATGATGATGATGTTGATTATGATTATGTTGTTGATGATGTTCTCAAACACCAACAAAAGGAATGATGCGATTACTGATGACAAAGAGACCTTCCAGCCTCATGGGATCATGGGACAACAAATTAAATCGAAAGCATCTGACCGACGCACCTGAAGATGCGGATGTTCCAATACAACTTTTACACAGCGCGAATTCGGAGGTTGATCATGGTCCCAAACATTCCGGACGGCATATTTACCCACATTGGGGTGGTTGAACAGGGGTCAATGGGGCGGCATCGCGTGGACTGGTCACCACTTCTTGAGCGAAGGTAGCCATGCGAAGCAGTTGCCACACTCTGGAGTGACCGCCTTTGATGAAAGACTCAGCTGGTTGAAGCCAAGGTCTTCGTGAAAAGGCTTCATCAGCCAAACTTTGCCCCAACACCGATCTGGTCTACCCGATCCCAGATAGAGAAATAATGATTTTTGTTCAATCAAATCTCTGCCAAGTCCCTTCAAAAACTGTTTGCGAACAATCTTGGAGTTTTGACTAATTTTGCTCCCACCGCCATGTGTCTTCAACAAAGAGTGTTTCTGCAGGCAAAGGCCTTCATCGCGAACCTCCTCTTCCGCTTCCTGTGTGGAGCGCACCGGTACTGTTCTGTAATCAAGTGGTTGTGGAGGGATCGAAAAAAAATGAACTTTGAAAATACAAATTTGAATGAATATAAACGTATCCCTGATAGTCAAAGGTCAATAAAATTCGCTAGATGTTCCTCAATCACCACTATCGACTCTATAGAGGAATCCCCAGTGACTTGCAAACGGTCACGTGAGGGATTTGTCAACAGCGTTTCGGGCGTGTGACCAAACTAGATTCGATACAATCAATTAGTGATACAATTCTTGTGCCTAAGCCCCTGTGTCAGACCAGATATACATGCTTAGCCACAACTCCACAGTCCACTGGGAAAGCCCAAAGGCAGTTTTGATAGCCAAGCTTGAGCGGACGCATGAGAAACCAATTTGAAAAAGTGTTTTCAAAGGATGTCCGGCTTAAACATGTTTAACTACTTGAGGTCTTCAGGAGGTAGCAGTGTGATTGTCTATAGATGTATATAACTATAACGTACAAAAGAATAAAGTCTATAATACAGTTAGTAATGAAGGAGAAGGATAGAAGGGACAAACAAATCCGCCCGCACTGAAGGTGCTGAGGGGGGTGATTGGGTTGGAACGCGCTCATCGCTCTATAGTTTTACCATGCTTTAGCTGGGGGGTGCCTTTCTTGTTTGGGGACGGAAATGCTTATCCTGCATCTGGGAGAATAGTCCGGGTCGGAGAAAACATGGAAACACACATGATTTTCACGTATCATCTATGTCTTGTTATACCTCTCGATATTTGATTTGCATCACCATGCTCATGAAACCGCAAACAAATGACCCCTCTCAATAGAATATATTGTATAAATATATATATATATATCCCACTGTTGCATCAAATGCATGAACTGTTTGCACTTACTTGTATCTCTCATTTTTGAATCATGTGCGTCACCAAGGCGCCGTAGAGGCCAACAAACAACTCCTTTCAACAGTCTATGTCACAATATCTTTATCTATATATACACATGTTTGTCATTATTGCATCATATACATCAGCTGGTTGCAATTGTAATCTCTATTGTACATAATCACTCTATTTTTTCAATGCCCTGGAA